AGGACGCCGTCCGGGTGAGCCCCCGCGCCCCCTCCGCTCGGGCCGGGCCAGCCGGGTGGCCTTCGGCGGGTCATTTCACTTCCCTGAGCCCTTGCCCTTTGGGAAGTGGGAGTGGCACCCGTTCTCTTTCATTACTGGTCCCTGTCCCCTGGAGCGACTCTGCCCCCAGTGAACACAGGCTGATGTCTGGGGACATCTGTGGTTGTCACACTGGGGGCGCTGCTGGCATCGAGTGGGGAGGGCCACAGATGCTGCTCAGTCCCCAAGATCCCGCAGTGAAGATGCTTTTATAGATGAGAAGGGGATGCGGGGCAGCCGGGAGTGGGGTGGGGGGAGCCCACTCTTGCCGAAAGCAGGCCCGGTGCTGGGCAGTTCATGCCCTCTGTTCATGTGGGTGTCCACCGTCAGCTTGGGACATCAGCCCCATTGCCCACTTACAGCCGAGGTCGGGATGGCCAGTGGGGGCGGGACTGGCCCACAGTGACTGGCTCAGCTCGGCCAGCTCCACCGCCTTCTCTCAGTCCCCTTCCTCCCTGCCAGGTATCATCCAGGGGCCCCCGAGCATCGCCACACCTCACCGGTTCCTCCGTCCTCTTCCCACTCCCCCGTCTCCTCCCGCCCTGTCCTTTTCAGTGGACTCCTAGCCTCGTTAGTGGCTTCAGAGGAGGCATGCTTCCGGGCCATGTCCTGCCTGCTCTCCAAGTATGGCCATGGAGCCACCTAAGTGCGTGTCTCTTCCACAGCAATTCATGGAGATCGAGCCCGAGATGCTGGCCATGGAGACCATCGTCCCCGTGTACTTTGCCGTGGAGGACGAGGCACTGCTGTCCATCTATGAGCAGACGCAGGCCGCCTCCGCCTCCCGGGGCTCTGCCTCTGCCGCTGAAGGTGGGCGGGGGCCGCGGGAACAGGGCGGGCACCCGGGAGCCTGCCGTGTTGTGGGCCAGGGTCACACTGCGCCGTTCTGGGGACCCTTAACACGTCACCGGTACTTAACGGTGCAGGTTACCAGGCCCTGCCCCGACCTGCTGTGTCACAGGGCTCTGCATTTTACAGCCCACTCCCCCCGCCGCCCACACACACACACCGATTTCCATGTGAACAAAAGCTTGAGAACCACTTATTTGAGGGGAGGTGTTTCCTGCCCCCAGCCTCTGGCTCTTTATGGGACGTGTGGGCATCTCTGGTTTTCTCGGTCCGTTCTACTCGCTGTTCGCATCCGGTGGGGCAGCAGCGTTCTCGGGGAGAGGAGGAAACCTGGGTTCTTCCACCCCGCGGACTGCGGACGCTGCGGTGAGCTGGGAGCAGGAGCGGGTCATTGTCAAGGGTGAGATAGGAAAATGGATCAGAGAGCTGCCGCTGAGAGGAGCCATTCAACACTATTCCCGCCTATGGAAAAGGCAGATGTAAGAGGAGGAAAATGCTCAGAGGACGAGGCTGGCAGGCTTGTCCGCGCTGGTGGACTGGGCCCGGCTCCGTGGGGACAGTGATACGTATCTAAGCTGCAGAGAGAGATGTGATCCTCCTGCCCGATGGTTAGCTGCATGGGGCGCTAGGTTGCGGGTTGGCAGACGACAGCCTTCAGCTGCCTGCTCGTGCTGGTGAAGGTTTGTTGGTGTCCTGCCGCTTTTACCTGGTGTCTGTGACAGCTTCACGCGGCAGCACAGTTGGGTGGCTGTGGCAGGCTGTCTGGCCTGCAGGGTAGAAAAACGTTTGTCATCCTCAGGTCCAGCTCAGTCTTGACAACAGCTA